AATCTTTAAAAATCTTCTTCTTTACTCCTGGACATTAAGCAGTCAAACTGTTTGCATGATTGTAATCAGCATTAAGTCCTCTTTCAAAATTGTGAAATTCATGGCCCCGGGGTCATGGGTTCTAGTGCTAGGGCGGGGCTAAATAAGTATATAGTGAAAATGCATTATTTCTTTGAAAATCTTCTTCTCTGCTACTGGGTATTAAATAAACCTACTAAGTACATAGTTATGATGAGCAAGAAGGCCTCTACCAAAATTGTGAATTTTATGGCCCCAGGGTCAGGGGTTCTGGTGTAAGGGTGGGACTCTATAGATTATAATAGTGAAAATACATGAATTCTTTGAAAATCTTCTTCTCTGCTCCTGGGTATTAAATAAACTAACTAAGTGCATAGTTATGATGAGCAAGAGTGCCTCTACCAAAATTGTGAATTTTATGGCCCCAGGGTCAGGGGTTCTGGTGTTAGGGAGGGGCTCTATAGATTTTATAGTGAAATTACATGAATTCTTTGAAAATCTTCTTCTCTGCTCCTGGGTATTAAATAAACTAACTAAGTGCATAGTTATGATGAGCAAGAGTGCCTCTACCAAAATTGTGAATTTTATGGCCCCAGGGTCAGGGGTTCTGGTGTAAGGGGGGGGTCTATAGATTATATAGTGAAAATACATGAATTCTTTGAAAATCTTCTTCTCTGCTCCTGGGTATTAAATAAATTAAATAAGTGCATAGTTATGATGAGCAAGAGTGCCTCTACCAAAATTGTGAATTTTATGGCCCCAGGGTCAGGGGTTCTGGTGTAGGGGGGGGGGGCTCTATAGATTATATAGTGAAATTACATGAATTATTTGAAAATCTTCTTCTCTGCTCCTAGGAATGAAATAAACTAATTACAAAGTTATGATGACCAAGAATACCTCTTCCAAATTTGTGAATTTTATGGCCCTAGGGTCCGGGGTTCTAGTGATAGGCTGGGGCTCTATTGATTATATAGTGAAAATACATTGAATCTTTGAAAGTTTTCTTATCTGCTCCTTGGTATTAAGCAGATGAACTACCTATATAGTTATGATGAGCAAGGGTACTAATCTTCCAGAATTGTGAATTTCAAGGCCCCAGGGTCAGGGGTACCATGAAGGAGGGGGGGGGGGTGGCTGTACTTATATACTGAAACTGGATGAATTGTTCGAAATATGCTCCTTGGTATTAATCAAATATTTTTGAAAAGCAAGGGTGCCTTTTCAAAAATTGTGCAATGTGTGGATCTAGGCCTAAGGGTCAGGGGTTCATGTGTGATTTGGGCATTACTGATCATGCTGAATATTACTGATTACTTGAAATGCATTTTTTGTTCCCCTACCCTGCCTATGGGTATTAAGTAAACAAACTAAGCAACTGCCAAGTGTATTGTTATGATGATCAATGGGGCCTCTTTCAAAATTGTGAATGCCATAGCATCTGGATTAAAACATGAATCAAATTCAATCACTGGAAAGTTGTGGCATAATGCTCAGGTGACCTATAAGGCCCATGGGCCTCTTGTTAAATTTAAAGAATATCTAAGATCAATACGGTCTCAACTTTGTGTTGTAAACTTCTGTTTATAGAATGAAATTCGGCACTTTGAAGCCAAACTCGGAAAGAAACAGAATTGGATGAGCTGATATAGAGTTAGACAGGAAAAACATGTAAATAATACATTTAGTAAAAACGTTAACTTTTTAAAATAAAATGATAAACCATTGAGATTTCTTGGAATTTAATTGATTCCAATAAACATGCTTTGTATCATTGCTCAAGCCCAACTAGAAATGGTTCCAAGTATATGAAGCAAAGCTGTATAATATTATTATTACATTTTAATTTAATCACTTTTTTTCAGATTATGAGAATACATTACTACAGTACAGACCATTGATGCTGGAAGTGAGTGGGTAGTGTTATTGGAAACTCAAGGATCCAGAAAATAGATCCATAGATTATACAGTGTATTCATTAAAGTGGATCAAATAAAAATGTTTAATCGAAAAGTAACATTCTTGGTTTGTCTGTTAGCATTTTTTTTTATGTAAATCTAATAACTATCAATTTTTGGCATGCAGATTCATAATTAGATAGTAGAAGAATCTGAAACATATCTTTATATTCTGCATTTTGAAGTGTCATAATTAAAACGAGGTCAATATTAAATGATCAATCAATTAATTTCGAAACTGACAAAATGTTTTTGTGAGAAAAAAGAAAGAGGGCTAATTTAAAGTCAGATGACACGTTCCTCAAATTTATGTTTTGTATCTCTAGGTATTATATAAAAAATATTCATATTTATCATTCTCTTCTGATTTCTACATTCTTTCAAAATGTTTTTACGTATATATAAATACAACAAAAATTCCGATATATGCCATTCAAAAGATTACCCATTTAGGGTAATTAATATGAAATATCTTTTAAGGTCAGTTCAAGTTTAGACAGTCATATATATATATATATATATATATATATATATATATATATATATATATATATATATATATATATAGCCCTTCCAGATTTTTATTTTAGGTACCAGTAGCTACTGAGGTCTTCGCTGTCTTACAATATTGTTTTTTAATTAGGACAGCAGGAGAATATATCGTAGGTTCAATACCAAAGGTTGCAGTCATTTGTTCTGACAGACATGGTATCATTTTTGAAAGTGCATGGTGTGGGGTAGGCATAAAAAACTGCAAGAAAAAAGTGGAGAAATTCTCCAAACTCAAGGGGGGGGGGGGGTTAAGAGTTGGGGATGTTAATCCCCCCCCCAACCAAACCTGATGCTACATGCCAGCTGCTTGATATGGTTTTACTTTAAAATTATGTGAGCTGTCATAGTGACTCTCTCTCATAAACTAGAATTATTATGAGCGAGCTCATAAAATGATATCAACCCTCCTGGTATAACATAAATCGTTTTTTTTATTACAAAAAAGGTCCAAATATTTATTTAAAACTTTTTTAACGTTCTGCTACTGCTGATTTACATACCCAAATGACTATGACATATACTCAAGTCATAGGTAGTAAAACCTTTGTGTAGAACACAAACTTACAATTTCTCTTCATTCGAAGTCAAATATGTTAATGTACCAAACTCATAAATAGAACACTTTTACTGCAGTGACTTTGAAAAAGCTATATCGTTGAGTCAAGGTCAAACGTGTCCAAATGAATTTTTGGTCAAGGTCATGACAAACCCACAGCTCAAATAATAATCCCCTCTTAGATGAAACTTCAAGTCTTTTCAATAGAATATTACAGAATGGGCAAAGATTGCACTATTCTTCTACCAATGACCTTGAACTTGTTCAAATGACCTTGGGTCAAGTTTTGGACACATCTCCAGATCATAAGCAATCTTAATATCAAGTTTGAACTTTCAGTGGGGCTTCATTGAAATGTAATGGACAAGTCAAAATTTTACATACATATGGATATGTGACAAGGTGATTCCTATAACCCCCCCCCCCCCTCTTTTGTTTCCAAGTTTCGTTTGTGAGGAATATGAATTCCTTTTGAAATTGAATGTACATTTATTTATCAACAATAGTAAAATTATGAGTATGCTTTGTTCAGACCAATATGACCAATATAATGGACACTGTACATGTATTCAATTTACCTCCACCCCTTCAAAAAAGCTTATAAATGCCAGATTTTCACACATTTTAACCATTTGTAACTCTTTTCTGCTAAAGTTGCCTGCAAATTTTATTATATAGATATGACATATAGATAACCCCTAACAAGATCACAGCATTCATTTTTCCAGCAGTGGTTGTAGATTTTGTGTATATGGTGATAAACATATGTAATTCTTTTCAAAATTAATAAGCATTGACGCCATGTTCTTTTCCCGTTGTCATGGCAACAATATCACTACAGAAATTTTGTTTTTCCTATTTTTTAAGAATAAAGTAATTCCATCTTTCAACAAATAAAGTAACCAAAATACCTTATTGTATCACATTCAGAAACCATATACATTAAAAAGTGTCTAAAAATCATTGATTTTCATAAGGATTTATGAACCTGTTGCTAAGGAAATGAATGGGATACCAGTCCCTTCATACATTCAAAAAAAATTTTAATTGTGTTTTAGCATTAGGTAGGACAAAATCTTTCATATACCAAATGCTTTTGAAAAAATAAAATTTTGACTTTCCATTCAATGCTCGATGCTTGCTGATTTTGACTCTTAATAGTTCTTTTGCTTCATATTTCAGGTGGGTTACAAAATTACAAAATGGACAAATTGTCCATATGTTGTAATGATCTGAAGACTAATTTGTCATGAAATGCTATTTTTGAAACGTGTTTGTAATCTACACGAAACAGATGGTTTCGTATTTGGAAATATTAAACCACTTAGTGACGATGTCCACTGTTTTTTTAGAAACATTATACGTAATTTATTCTTTTTATCATTTATTCTTTTAACAAACTTCCCTTCTCTCATATATTTTCCAAATATAATGTAATGAACAGGGCAGGGTATATATACAGCAATTCTAAGCGAGCTATTTTCAAATCCAAGGGAGAAGATGATGAACCTCTACATTTGTTTAACCGTAAGTAACCTGGCTTCTTTCCTTTTTATCTCCTTGTTTTGTTATGTGAAAATATATTTGTTGACACTTGAAAAGCAATGTTGAAATAGATTAAAGTTATCATATCAGAGTTTATTGTATTGTTCCTACAAAACGCAAATATTTTTTTTTTCATTATTATACTGATATTTCTATTCATAACTAATTTAATGGATAAGAAATAATTGTTTGTTGTTTCGGAAAGTTTTTTCACCTAATTATTACAATTCATTTAACTTTTTTGATGACATAGTAATAGAGAAAATACGTTGGTAAAACGTGCGTGATCGTTCATTTAAGATGAAAGATCGTAAGTGTAGCAGGTTTAATCGTTCGCAGTTTTAATCCTGTGCGCGCTCATTTCATGAGAATATTATTGTAAAAAGATTTTTCGGAAAATTAATATGTTAAACAAACAATTTTTTTTTGTTTTTTTTTTTACTGTTTTACATGTAAAAGGAAGAAAATGTCATTCATAAAGTTAAATATTGAATTGATGATTGCATTAAAACATGTAAAAAAAGTTTTTAAACACTTTTCTCTTCTATACAAGAAATGTTGAACTTCACCTGAAAATAATGACCTCATACATAAACATTCTGGTTGGTGAATAAATACATGATTTTCAGGTTTACATTAAAAAGTAATAGTTAACCTTCATACTTACTTTATTTTAATCAATATTTATTGATTTGTTAATATACTTTATTTGTTTATTAACTATAAATTGAAAAAAAAGGCAAAATAGTACCTGATGTTATATATTTACAAACTGAAAAATGGCAATAATTTTCAGTCATGTTTTTTTTTTAAATTTACTCTTCCAATCTTGTATTACCGTTCACGGTAGCCTAGTGGTAGAGCATTCGCTTCGTTATCGGGAGGCCCGGGTTCGATTCTCGTTTCCGGCGCCGCGTCCTACCTAAGACGTAAAAATTGGTAGCGACTATTCCTTCGCCAAGCGCTCTGCATCAGAAGTGAAAGTCACTGGTCTTTCGGATATGGCCTTAAGAACGTAGGCCCCGTGTCACGGTAGGCGCTGGCACGATAAAGAACCGTCACTGCTCAATGGCCCTGAGTGCCGAGTATAGGTCTAAATTTGAAGCCCTTCACCGACATACGGTGACGTCTCCATATGAGTGAAAAATTCTCAAGAGGGACGTTAAACAATATACAATCAATCAATCCAATCTTATATTTATTATAAATTTAAATAGAATCAAATCTCAATGTCTGCTTAATTCTTCAGATAAAACATGCATAGATGGGTAATAAATTACATTTCCACGTATCGAAAGAAAATCATTTATCCTAAGTTGTTTAATAACATTATCTGAAATATTCTGTATGTCTCATTTAGTTTAAAACATTGGCATTGCTTATTTTTTCGGTATAGCAAAATCGATAAATTACAAAAAAATATATATATAATATGAAATAACAAAACAAAATCGCTATGTTGTCAACAACAACCTTGCAGCCACTGTAAATGTAGCATCGCTTTATTGTTTTATATCTTTTGGTTTGTCTAGAAAGAAAATCAGGGTTTTATCTTTGTTAGTTTTGTTTACTTTTGATCAAAACCTTTTTTTGAATAACACGGTTTAAAATAATACTTTGAATTCATTACATCCTAACAAGGCAGTACATTAGCTGGACCTATGTATTGTATTCACATGTACTCTTTATTGTCTTTTAGATGTAATTCTGGTACATAAATACCACAGGTGTCCATACGTCTTTTTAAAAACGTCAAAATATTTGAATCTTCAATTTATTTAAACAATTGTTCTAGTTCGCTCTTTATACCCGCTGATCGCTCTGTACTGTTTGGTTCTAAAGTTAAATTTAAGGAAGCTCTAAACACTACACACTAAAGGGTTCTAATTGCGCGGTCTTTTTATGTTATAAGAGTTACTAGTATCTGCCCTTTAGAAGTTTGATAGGAAGAAATTATTATTAACAGTTAATTGCACATTTCGTAATAGACAAAGATATGCTTAGCATTATTCATGTTTTAGATCAAGAATAAGTAAATTAATTCATTATTTCCATTATTTTTTCAAACGAATGTAAACAACAGTGTTTCTTTTCACGCGCAGTCTCTTGTCTTTGAACGTTGTTATTGCAGGATTAAGACAAGTACCCTATCTTGAACTTGAATGAAATAGTCTAAATATAAAATAAAATTATATGACATAGTTTTTATTAACTCCAAAAAGAACTTTTTGTTAGTGATAAGCGCCACCTTAAAACAATCTTATACAAGCTTTGAACAGAACAATTCCTTAAAGTTAATCTCATAGAAATGCAGAATCTAAAGATTCATACAATATAAATAATTCAATGTTTATTGAAAACCTTATAATTTTCATTAATATTTCTTTTTTTTTCTTTTCTAGGTTCTTTTGATCCTGCATCTAGCGCAAGCAAGACGTGATGTAATGGATCGATTCTCCACTAGGTAAATATGAAAAATCTTTTTATATATTGTGATCTTTGCATTATTTTTTTTTTCACTTTTAGCAAAAGAAAGGTAAAGGAATAAATAGAAATTAAAATTTCTTTTGTGTCATGAATATGACTTAAATTGGATGATATATAAAATACTTTTTCTGTCAATGCAAGAGAAGCTATAATACCAAAACAAGACAGACGCATAATATTGTTAATATTTTTTAAATGTATATACATGTATATTGGGGGGGAGGGGTGATTGATGAAAATCAGATTTTCAACTTTTTTTTCTTTTATTTATTGTAACTATGTATTATTTACATACAAAAAAAATATTAGTTCAAAATGGAGAAAATTCATGTTTTTTTAATAATACGTTTTTTTGAATATTTTTTTTCTTTCAGTAAGAGGGATCCCGAGAAGTCAAAACAAGATGGAGGGTTAATGATGTAAATATTTTTTCTCATTCTTTTTTATTTGTTTGTCTACAATGTTGAAAAAGAGTGGTAAAATTCAAAATAAAAATAATCAATATTTTTGTGTTTAAAAAAAAATCATTCAATGCGATTGATCCTGAGAGGCCAAAACTAATTAAATGGGTGATGAAGTAAATAGTGTTATTATTATTATTAATAGTTAATATTGTTATTGGAAAGGGATTAGAGAATTTCAAAATGGAGATAATTAATTTTTTTGTTTAATAATATATTTTTTCCCTTTCAGAGCGAGGGATTCCGAGAGACCAAAACAAGATAGAGGGGTCATGATGTAAATATGTTGTTGAAAATAGTAATTAAATTGCAAATATTACAATTTTTAATTTGCCATTTGTATGTCTTTTATCTAAAAATATTTTTAAATTAAATTTTCTATGTTATAATATGCTATTAATTTTTTTTTTTTCGTTTCAGTGCGAGAGTCCCTCCGGAGGATCCGTGGGGTTAAATGTAGCTGAAGGGAGTCAACATGCCGGGCCCTTGGGGTACAGATCCATATTATGAATAGATGATGACTGACCCTATGCTATTTACTGGATATTTACAATAAAGATTTATAATGCACAATGTCGATGAATTTCTACTTGCTTTGATTGATCTAACCAATAAAAAATATTTTAAAGCAGTATTTAAATGTCTAGAGATACATGCACAGGGCAATTCCATATGAGGGAATTATTAACAATATGATTGTACGATTAAAAAAGCCACGTTTACAACGTTCGGCACTAAATATCAAAACTTATCACGTGTGTAACGTGCCATTTCATTGAATATAAAAATTATTAAGGTCTTCCGTTTCAGACGGAAGACCTTATAGTGATTCTACTGTTTCTTCTTTTCTTTTTCTTTTTTTTCCCCTTTTCTTTTTTTTGGACGATTTCTCTGAGATGGCTCGACAGATTCTCATGAAATTTTTAGAGATGATAGACAGTTAAAATATCAAAATTCACTTCCGGTCGTAGATATGTCCGATTTGCCTTTTTCAAAAAAAAAAATTGTCCGAGTCATATCTCAGAAACGGTAAGAGATTAAGATACCTAACGTATATGAAGTAATAGATCTTGATAAGTAGGCAAGCTTAATCGGGTTAAAATTGTCCGCCGTCACTTCCGGTCGTCACAGGAAGTGATCAAAGAAACCGAAAATTTCAACTTTTTTTTTGAAACTTTTTATGCATCACATTATAGCATCTTATTTGTAGTTTTGAAATATATCAGTCCCAGCGGAAACAAAAACGGCAACTTCCGGTTATTAGAGAAAAACTTCATAATTTGAGTATTTTTCTTTCCCATAAATATTTTTTACACATGAAGTATTTGTAATGATTTTTGAATATGTTATTCAAACTGCAAATATCTACAGTAACGTCAAATATCTTTTTAAATATCACTTCTGGTCGCGTGATTTCCTGTCCTCAAAATGAGAAGTTATCATTGCTAGATCTCGTAAACGGTAAGAGATTAAGACACCAAACTTTTAGGAGTGGTAGATCTTGATTGCAAAACCATATGATCGTTTGCTGTCATTTCCGGTCGTCACAGGAAGTGATCAAAGAAATCAGAAATTTCAACTTTTCTTTTTGGAGTACTTCTCGGCATCACATTATTACATCTTATTGGTTGTTCTGATATATGTCCGTCCCACCAAGAACAAAAACGGCAACTTCCAGTTATGAGAGAAAAACTGCATAAATTGAGTATCATACTATCCCATAAATATCTTTTATAGAAAGAGTATTTGAAATGATTTAAGAACGTGTTATTCAACTGCAAATGTCTAGAGTAACTACAAATATCTGTTAAAAATTGACTTCCGGTCTCATGATTTCCTGTCCTCAAACTGAATAGTTAACATAGCCATATCTTGGTAATGGTAACACATCAAGACATTAAACTTATATGAATAATAACCCTTGAAGAGTTAACAACAGATATAGGGATAAATGTCTCCCGCCGTCACTTCCGGTCGTCACAGGATGTGATTTGAAAAATCGAAAATTCGAACTTCTTTCTTTCCAATTTTTTTTTTCATTACTTTATTGCATCTAATTAGTAGTTTGAAATATGGTCAGCTCCACCAAAAATAAAATAAAAATAAAAACAACAAAAACTTCCAATAATAAGAAATAAAACAACACCAAAGGTCAAAAGGTAAAGGTCGTTGGAAAAGTATTTAAATTGCTTATATATGTCACATGACCTTCACCTTCAAGTTAATGTTTGACCTTGACCTTTGTCCTTGCCCCTTACCCAAGAGTTAATTTTTTTTAAATTATATTTAGCTTGATACAGCTTCAAGAAGTCGAGTTTAAAAGGTTTTTGGATGACATTGACCATCGACCTCGATAAATGACCTTGAACTTTGACCCCATTGACCCAAAGGTCACAATCAAGCTTGAGTCCGTGGGGGTGTTTACATCTCTCACTTTAACAAATGCTTATATACCCCCCCTTCTTTTTTTTTTAAATCAATAGGAACCTAGAAAAATTTTCAACAGTTCAAACGACGCCACAGATCGACATGAAATTTAAGGAGTGATGTAGACACATCAAAGAAAGTGTCCTGAGTGTGTAACAGTGAGTCTCTGAAGTATATAATGAAATTCTAATGACTATCGGCAACAACTACATTTTTTTTTCTGTCTGAAATTTAGGTGCTGATGAGCATGAAAATTAATTAAAGCTTGTATTGGGTATTTCTTCACTTTTTGTCAATATTAATTGAATGAATCTAGGAAATAGCGATTTTTCCTATCAAATCAATTTCCACGCAATTTATATAGGTTATATAAATTACAGTTATCTCGCTTTCTACAATGTGGAGTTGAGAAAATGCCCATGACAAATTATGTCAACAAATTACATGTAATGTTCCTATTAGAGTGCAGATGTACCAAAAATGCACCCAGGACTACCCAGATTTTGAGGTTTGTTTTTCCGAGCAGGGTAACACACCCGGTATTCTGTAAATCAAGCTATGCCCAAAAGAAAATTCATTAATTGATATGTTGTCATTTACCTTCCCTCTGAGAAACACACCTTCTTCTAAAGCCTACGGCTTTTCAGCTGATTTTCCTCTCAACTGACCACGTGTATTAGTTTCGCACTTACAGCTCTGTATATGCTAAGTGTCATAGTAATACCTACATGTTCAGCAAGCACTCTGATTCACTGCAAACGTGTCCATATAATTCTAATCATTTTTTCTACATCAAATATCACATCAAACAGGGAATATCTCAGTTTTTAAAGAAATTTGACCGGGACTTTACTACGAAACTATTCCCTTCAACTTTAGAATAATAGTATAAAAAATACCTTTTTCTGGTGTAGAGGCGATGGCTCAGTGGTTAGCGTGTCAGATTTGCAAACCGAGGGTTATATGTTCAGAGCCCAGCCGGAGGAATTTTTTTTTGCATTTTCTGTATTTTATTTATTTATTCATTATCATGTCTTTTTCTTTAAATAGAAAAAAAAATATCCTTCATACAGATAAATAGAGCAGTACGGACGACCTTATTTGTTGCTGTAGCAACAAGAGTTTGTTCCCCAAACGGAGTTTGGGAACATATTGTTTTTACTCGGTTTCTTATTATTATTATTATTATTAAGGTCTTCCGTTTCCAACGGAAGACCTTATTGTTTTCGTTCGGTTTCTTTTTCCCTATTATTATTTTTCTTCCAACCGATTTTGTGCAAGCGATTTCTCAGAGATGGCTGATCCGATTTATATAAAACTTTCAGACGTAAAAGATATTCAATTGATCTTGATAGGTTTTTTTTTACTTTTTGATGACGTCACTTCCGGTCGTGAGATATGAACGATTTTCTGGGGCCCGTTTTACAAAAGAACTTACAACTAAGACCAAAAACTTCAGATTATTGTAACATTTTGCAAAATTAATAATTCTATTTGAAATTGGTTGTATAAAAATATTTTACTACATTCCTTTTAAGAAGTTTAAAATAATTTTCGATATAAAGTTTATTAAAAAGTTATATGAAGAATTAAATTTGGTCTTAAGTCGTAAGTTCTTTTGTACAACGGGCCCCTGATTTTCAAAGGGTCGGCTTGTCAGGAAACTCCTCCAAAACGACTCAAGATATTGACCCAAGAATTTTAGTGAGTATACAGGAAGGTTTGCAGAATTGCAATTGGGTGCCTAAATCCTTCTAGCGCAAAAGGCGCATTTTCTCGGTAGGGCTCGAAAAATGTCTCAGAAACATCTTACAAAATTTGACACATTTTGTCTCATATCTTCATACCTGTTCATAATTTGTTAAAGTATATTGAAGAAAAAATGGGCAAAATTATAAGACCTTTCATTTGATGTCAAGAAAATGGGGCTGACCCCTCAAATTAAGCACTGGGTGAAAAAACCAGTTTCCCATTGTAGGAAACCTTATGGAAACCATATTGAAACCTCAAGATTACATTATGTTTCCTTGTGGTTTCCGTGCGGGATACTGGGTTATTCCCCTTGATTCCGTGCAACGGAAACACCCTACGCTCCGATTCCAATAGGTTTCCCGAGCCTTGAAATCCAGTGGAATCGTGAGGGTTTCCCCTTGATTCCGTAAGTTTCCCGTACGGGATCTAAAGATTCCACTGGTTTCCGTGTCTCGGGATACCTAATGGAATTGGGACCTTAGGGTGTTCTGTGGATGGGAAACTAGTCGGGAATCTCAAGGATTCCATGTTTTGGAAACCAATTGGATACCATAAGGAAACTTGAAGATTCCACTGGCTTCCGTGCTTCGGGATACAATATGGAATCGGAGCGTAGTAGTTTCCGTGAATGGGAAACTAGTCGGGAATCTTAAAGATTCCATGAATAGGAACCTGCTTGGATTCACATAGTAAACCTTGAGTTTCCAAAGGTTGGAAACCTAAGGGGATTATCAGGAATCTTGGGGTTTCCCTTGATGGAATCTAAATGGATTTATTGGAATAATTATTTTTTTTCTTGATGAATTTTCTTTAAAATTCTCATACTACAAAATAATTATGAGAAATCTCATTCAGGGTGGGTGCATTTATTTATGAATATTGATGCGTGAACCTTGAGGATATAGTAAAGAACAAAACAAATTTCAAATAAAATGACATTTGTATTCTCAGAAATTATATTAATAATACTATCTATTCAAATTCACAACAAAGAAAAATTTAAGTTACTCAATTAAGTTACTCAATTCAGTTACTTAAGTATTATGTGAACAAAATAAATCTATGAAAAAGTATAACAAATTTCAAAGATATATCAAA